AAAAAATCTGCTGTTAGGGACTTCTCTAGAGTGCTGAAAAACAATGATGTCAGTTTAGAGACTAAGGTGCTCCTAATCCAGGCCATGGTCTTCACAATTACTCGTGATGCTTCAGAGAACTGGACAATGACTAAGGATGACAGAAGAAGAATTGATGCCTTCAAGCTGTGGTGCTGAAGAAGTCTTAAACATGGACTGCCAAGAAAACAAATAGGCCTGTCTTGGAGAAAGTGAAACCAAGTCTCTCCTTGGAGGCTGGGATTTTGAAGCTCTGTCTCACATACTTTAGGCATGTGGCCAGGAGAGACTGACCATCATGCTTGAAAGTATAGAGAGACAGTGAAGGAAAGGAAGACCCCAGATGAGATGGATGGATACAGTGACTGGGAGAATCAAATTTAGTGTATAGGAATCAGTGAGACTGGCACAGGACAGGACAGGGTTCAGAGCTGCTGTACATAGGGTCTCTATAGGTTGCAGGCAACTTGACAGCACATAACAACAACAGCAATAACTGCCACATACATTGCCATGGAGAGGCCTGGAGGTTTAAATCACACTTTTGGTTAGTGGTGGAACATTTTAGCCACTGCGCCACCAAGGCTCATGTAAAATGAAATAGTAATTGTGTGAAAATGGTGATTTCACAAAACTGCCATATGACCCTGCAATCCTAATCCCAAATATAAACCCAGAAGTGAAAACAGGAAGACAAACAGAAATTTGTGTATTGCAGCACTTTTGGCAATAGCCAAAATGTAGAAACGACCCAAGTCATCTATTAACAGACAAATAGAGCAACGTGTGATACATGTATAAGAAAATATTATCCAGCTGTAAAGAAAAAAAAGTTCTGCTATATACCACAACATTAGTAAATCATGAAAACATTATGTTGAGCGAAATAATTCACAAACGACAAATACTATGCAAATGCACTTACATGAAATCAGCAAACACAGGGAAACTAAAGCAACTACCAGGAATAGGAAGAAGGAAGAAAAGGGGAACCTTTTGTTTAGAAATAATCCAATTTACGTTAATAGTGGTGGACTAATTTAGAAAAGGATAGTGAAAATAGTAGTTCAACAAGAAGAATGTAATCAATGACACTGAATTACCTATATAAAAATATATAGGGAGGGGTGAGTAAAGGAAATGCGAAAGATCTGGTGTGAAAACAATGTATATGGACTTTGAAAGTAAACTAGTACAAAATAAAAATGACATTTAAAAAGGGGGGGAAACTTATAAAAAAAATCATTGAATTGGTGAGTGTTGTGCATGTATTTTCACCACCAAAACCAAGCCATATCCATTGTCAGCAATTAGATTCCCACTCATAGTGACCCTATAAGACAGAGTAGAACTATCTCAGAGACTAGAGAAGAGTACTGAATATCCTAGGAACTGCCAAATGAACAAACAAGTAAGTATGTCTTGGAGGAAATGAAACTATGATGCTCCTTACAGTAACTCGCATACTTGAGTATGTTGTCAGGAGAGGCCAGCCCTTGGATAAAGACATTACACTGGGAAAGGTAGAAAATTAGAGAGAGGCAAACTCTCAAAAAGATTGACACGACTATAACAATGGGCCGGAGCTTATTAAAGATTGTAAGGGTGGTGTTCACACGGTGGCTATGGGTTGTGGTTAACTAAGCAGCACCTACCAACAACAAAAGACAATCTTTAAGTACACGAAATACAACATCTTTTATCAAGTGTAATAGCTGATGAGTTCAAATTGCTGAACTCCTAATCACTTTGCCACTAGAATACCACATAAACATTTATTGAGTTTCCAAAATAGTAATAATAATGTAATATAATAATGGGAGCTCTGGTGGCTTAGTGGTAAGGAATTACACTGCCAATTCAACAGTACATGGTTTGAATCCACCAGCTGCTCAATAGGAGAAAGATGGGCAATTTCCTTCAAGTGTGATTTACTACCTCTGAAAACCTGCTGGAGGTGTTACATTCTGATGGTACTCATCATCAACAACAAAATAATATTAATGATAACAGTAATAAAGTGGGCATGAAAATTGTGGAGTACTTTGCACACTAAGTGGTACCAAATAAATGACACCTTATGTAGACTTTCTTTGAATGACTTGGGACATTCTGACATTTCTATTTAGGTTCTATGCAACTCTTCCCTATTTGCTTGTATTGTCTGTCTGTCACACTGGGTATCCATGGTAAGCTGCAGAAAAACTTGACCTGCCTAGAGTTTACAATTTCCATGACGCTCAAATGAAAGGAACAATGGTTTTAAATGTTTAAGGAAAGCAGGAAAATCATAGTATATTACTTCGCCTTAAGAAAATATATTTTAATTTTAATTCCTTGGATTCAAATATGTGCCAGGAATTTACTATCACATTTATAGAAAAAGTAAGAGACACTAGAAAGAAAAATTTAGAAATGCTAGAAATAGTAAATTTTTATATTAACAGGACTATTGTTTAAAGTAAATGAGATAAATTGTTGTTGTTGTTGTTGATTGCTTTTGAGTTCAGCATGACTCATAGGGACCCTCTGAACAAAAGGCCTGAAGCTCCTCTACAACTTCTGCTTCCAAACAAATAGATGAAATAATGAAACACTCTCAGATCCTATGATAATGTTTCACAATTTACTTTGTAAAAACAGCAACCAAATTTTATTTTGTGCTTTTATTAGAGTCTACCCTTAAGGCTTAGAAACAGGAGTGACATCCACTTCCTAAATAGTTTCCTCTGGAAACTCTATGAATTTTGATAAATGTTGATAGTTACAGAAAGGTTTCAGGCCTTTTGTTCATCGGGTTGCTATGAGTTGTGCTCGACTCAACGACAATCAACAACAGCAACAACAACCTTTAAGGCAATCATAAGTAAGAAAAATAAGGCTTTCAATTCAAGTTCTTCACCTTTTTTTTTTTTTAAGAATTAAGTTTTTTGTAAAGTAGGAGTGTTAGTATGTTCCCCTTTTACATTAGAGTTTTTGGAGGGTAAAAGCAGAATGTTACTTTTGAACAAACTCTAAAATAAAGGGACACTATTGAAATGAAGTTTATAATGGGGATTTATGAGTCATGTATCACTCTAACATGATAGAACAATGAAATATAGATAGGGTCAGCAATTCTCAATTGTCAGTTTTCAAGTAATACAAATGGAGAAAAGAAACTATATTTTTGTTGAATTCTGTGGGTGAGTCTACTAAGTGACTATTGTGATTTTGTCTCAAACCTCTGGAAACTGGTATAGTTAAAAGAACAACTTTCAAAACAAAAAACATTTTGAGCTGAATCTTAGTCTTTCAGCTAACAGGGTTCCTTTGGAATATAGCATATACCGAGTCTCAGGATCTTTCTGTTAAAAACATAGATTAAAAGAGCACTTCAATGTCTTCCTTAAAAGCAATTTCCAAAACCTTGTGGAAAACTAGGAGAAAGTCAGGGAGGGTCAGGACTCACAATTTTGCAGGCAAAGAAGCAAGATCCACAGGCAGTGCTGAGCCATTTTCTTCCAGCGTCTAATCTTCTGTGGACAAGAAGGGTGCAGTGTGTTTCACTTGAGGTTTCTTTTTATAGGTTAAGAAAGGAAGTTGCGAGTTAACAGATTTTGGATGCATTAGTCTTTGTATTATGATACCAGTTTTTCCTATTACATACTTGAAGGGCCTAAAATTAGTTTATTTATTTAACAAATAGTTACTGCAAGCTTGTTTTGTTCCAGGCATTATTCTAGGTAATGACAATATAATGATTAGCAAAACAATTGACAGCTTCTTTTGATGGAATGTATAGAGAGGAAGACCCAGAATGAGAGGGATCAATCGTCTCAGTGACGGGAGAAAAGGAGTTAGGTCTGACAGAAATGATGATTCAGGATAGGGCAGGGTTCAAAGTTTATGGATGTAGGGTCACCATGAGTCATAGGTGACTTGATGGCACATAACAACAGCAACAACAACAACAACGACAACGACGACGACGACAATAATATACTCTTATTAGGGGCCTAACGATTATATAAGAGAACTTTGGTGGCCTAGTGATAAGAAGATGCATTGTTATCACAAAGGCATGTAGTTTGAATTCACCAGCTGTTCCATGGGAGAAGGAGGGGCAATCTCTTCCTGTACAATTTATTGCCCCTGGCAAAAAACCCCCTGAGGGTAAACTATAGGCTGATTTCCATTTGATGGCACACACAACAATGATCACATAAAAAATTCCTGTTGGAACAGGAAAAATATCAGGAAATTTGAGAGCAGCATGGATCCCTGGTAGAGCAGTAATTAAGTGTCCAGCTAGAAACGGAAAAGTTAGTGCTTTGAACCCACTAGCCATCATGCAGAAGAAAGCTGGTACAGTCTTCTTTTGTAAAGATTCCAGCCTTGGAAATTCTACAGAGCAATTCTGCTGTGTTCTGTAGGGTCACCGTGAGTTGGAGATCAACTCAGTAACAATGGATTTCTGATTTTGGAAGAGGGTAAGACAGAGCTTTGGTAGAGCAATAGTTAAGTAGTTAAGTAGATCAGTGGTTTGTTTATTTTGTTTTTGTTTTTTCTTTTCTTTTTATTAATTATTATTCCCTGGACTGTTAAGAAAATGAAGAGGTTCATCCTGGAGAGGGTTAAACTGGGCTGCGCCTTGGAAACAAGGATTCTGAAGCTTTGTCTGACATACTACGGACATGTTGCAAGGAGGGACCAGTCCTTGGAGAGGGACATCATGCTTGGGAGGGTGGAGAAACAGCACAGGAGAGGAAGACCCTCTATGAGGTGCATTGATTCAGTGACTGGAGTAGTGGGAGTGGCTGTGTTGGGACAGTGAGACTGGCACAAGATAGAGCAGGGTTTAGGTCTGTTATACTAGGGTCTTTGAGTTGCAGGTGACTCGACGGCACATAACAACAACAACAACAAACATTATTAATTTTAATGAAAGTTTACAGAGATTTTGGATTTCCATTCATTCATTGTTGCACTTTTCTCCCTGCCACCCCTGCCCTCGAGTTTGCTCTTCTCTTTGAAAAGTAAAAGAAAAAGTCTTTCATTGTTATACAATCCCTCCCCCTAAGTCCACTCAACTATGCAGCCTTCATTCTGGACTCCTGTCATGACAATAATACCTTATATTACATTACATATAGTCTATAATACATTATATACCCCTTTTAAACAGTTCTCTCCCTAATCTGTTTCAATGCAGTACACATAATTTATCCCATCTTTCTCAGTCTCCCCCCGCAAGCCTGATGTCAACAAAACAACCCCATTTTATAAGAGTGGCATTATACAGTACCCTTTTGTGACTGAGATATTTCACTCAGTATAATGTCCTCTAGGGTCACCGATTTTGTATAATATTTCATGAGTTCCTTGTTTTTCAACACAGCGTAGTATTCCATTGTGTGAATATACCACGGCTTCTGTATCCATTTATTTGCTGGTGGGCACTTAGGTTGTTTGCTGCTCTCTGCTTTTGTGAACAAAGCTGTGATAAACAAACTGTGATAAACATGGGTGTGCATATATCTGCTTGGGTGGCGGTTATGGTTTCTTTGGGGTATATTCCCAGCAGTGGAATTGCTGGGTCAAATGATATTTTAATTTCCAACTTTTTGAGAAAGTGCCATACAGCTTTTCATAGTCGTTGCACCATTTTACACTCCCACCAAAAGTGAATAAGGTTTCCAGTTTCTCCACAACCTCATCAGTATTTGTTGTTTGCTGTTCTGTTAAATTTTGTTATTCTGACTGAGGTGAGATAATATCTCATAGTTGTTTTGATTTTCATCTCTCTTAGAGATAGGGATTTTGAACATTCCTTCATGTGTTTGTTGGCCATCTGAATGTCTTCTTTGGTGAATTGTCCGTTCATATCCGGTGCCCATTTTTCAATTGGGTTGTTTTCCTTTATTCTGTTGTTGTGCTCAAGTATTTTATAAATTCTGGATATAAGTCCCTTATCTGACATGTCATTACCAAATATTTCTTTCTCGGTCTGTGGCTTCCCTTTTTTACCTTGTTGGAAAACTTTTTGGGTGTGCACAGGGATATTTAATTCTTAGAAGGACCCATTCATCTATTTTATCTTCTCCTGGTTGTAGGGTTTTCAGTATTCTTGGAAGACTGTTTATGTTGTGGATTAGGACTTCTAGAGTTCTTCCAAGCTTTTCTCTAATGAAGTTTATAGTCCTTGGTTTTAGTCCAAGGTCCTTGATCCACTTTGAGTTGTTTTTTGGTTTGGAGTGAGGTATGGATCTTGTTTGAGTTTTCTACAGATAGTTTTACAATTTCGCCAACACCATTTGTTAAAGACTGTCATTTTCCCACTTAACTGAATTCATTTCCTTGTCAAAAATCATTTGGCCATAGGTAGATGAGCTGATTTCTGGGTTCTAATTCTAATCCATTGATCTATATGCCTGTCATTGTCACAGTACCACACTGTCTTGAACACCATGGTAGTGTAGCAGGATTTGAAATCAAGGAGTGAGATGCCTACTATCTTGTTTCTCATTTTAGGGAGTGCTTTGCTTATTCAAGGCTTCTTTCCATTCCAAATGAAACTGGAGATTGCTAGAGGAAAACTTCCCAGGCATAATGAAAAATGAGAGAATATATATTCAAGAAGCTGAGCTAACATCACATAAAATAGACCCCAAAAGAAAAACACAAAGGCATATCATAGTCAAATTTGCCAGAACCAAAGATAAGGAGAGATCTGAAAGTAATGAGGGAGAACCAAAAGTAACCTATAAGGGAGAACAGATAAGATTAAGTGCTGATTTCTCAGCAGAAACCCATGAGAGCAAGAAGACAGTAGAATGACATATATCGAACACTCAAAGAACACAACTGTCAACCAAGAATACTGTACCCAGCGAAACTATCCATCAAATAGTAAAAAGAGAGCAAGATATTGCCAGAAAAGCAGGGAGTTTGTGAAAACAAGATCAACATTGCAGGAAACACTGAGAGATGTCCTTCTTACAGAAGTGCCACAGAAAGCATAATGGATAAAAGAAACTAGCAACAACACCAAAAAGAGCTCAACAAAATTATAACAATAAAACCTTGCCTCTCAGTAATCATACTGAATGTGAATGGTTTAAATGCACCACTGAAGAGAAAAAGAGTAGGAGATTGGATAAAAACCAAAAATCAATCAAAATGCTGTTTACAAGAGACACATCTGAAAAAGGAAGGCAAAGAAAGAAAAAAAAAATAAAATAAAAGGGTGGGAAAAAAATATACCAAACAAATGGCAACCAGAAAAAAGCAGGAGTAGCAGTATTAATTTCTGATAAAATAAATTTTAATGCAAAAACCATCACAAATGACAAGGAAGGTCACTACACAGTGCTTAAAGAGTCAATAGAACAAGAGTACATAACAATAATAAATTCTATGCACCAAATGAAAGACCTGCAAAATTTAGAAAACAAACATTAATAAAACTGAAAAAAGAAATAGACAATACTACTATAGTACTTGGAGACTTCAATACACCACTTTCAAGAAAAGATAGAACTACCAGAAAGAAACTCAGCAAAGATACTGAAGAATTAAACCACACCGTAAACCAACTCACCCTCATAGATATTTATAGTCTAATACACTCCAAAAAAAGTACAGTATACCTTCTTTTCCAATGTGCATGGCACATTCTCCAGAAGGTTTTAGGTCACAAGGCAAGGATCAATAAATTAAAAACCATAGAAATAATACAAAGCATCTTCTCAGATCACAATGGTACAAAATTAGAAATTAATAACAAGAGGATAAAGGAGGAAAACCCCATACATTTGGAAGCTGAATAACACCTTGCTTGAACATGAACTAGAAGAAATAAAAAAATTAAATAAAAACGTTTCTTGAAACAAATGACAATGAAAACACCACTTATCAAAACCTCTGGGAAACAGCCAAAGCAGTAATCAGAGGTCAATTTATAGCAATAAGCAAACATATCAAAAGGCAGGGGAAAAAAATGACCATTGACTCTCTAACCCATCATCTCCAACAAATTGAAAAAGAACAGCAAGAAAACCCAAAACCCTCTAAAAAACATGAAATTATAAAAATTAGAGCAGAAAGAAATGAAACAAAAAACAGAAAAAAATTGAAATCATCATCAAAAACAAGGAGTTGGTTCTTGGAAAAGGTCAATAAAATCTATAAACCATTAGCAAAACTAACAAAAGAAGGAAAAGACACAAATAATCCGAATAAGAGATAAAACGGGCAACACCACAAGAGAATCAATGAAAATGAAAGACTAACATTAGAATATTATGAAAAATTATACTCAAACAAATATGAAAACCTAGAGGAAATGGACAAATACTTAGAAATGCACAACCTACCTAAGCTGACAAACCAAAATTGAACACCTCAACAGATCCATTACAAAAGAAGAAATTGAAAAGGTAATAAAACAACTTCCAGTGGAAAAAAAAAGAGAGCCCTGAACCAGATGGTTTTACAAGTGAATTTTATCAAACAT